CTAGGAGGGTATTGATTAGCTGGAGAATTTCCAAGTTTATTACCATTATCCAGATCTTTTAAAGTACGGATCTGGTATATTTTATTAGTATTTTTTTTTTTTTGAAGGAAAAAAAAAATCTAAAGTTTTTGGACTTGAAAGTAAGATATTTTAGATAAAAAGCATTGAACTATCTATTAATGCCTATTGATACACATTGGTGAGTATTAAAATATATTGATATTTATTGAAGGGTATTAATATGTATTAATGTATACTGAAAAATATTGATATATATTGGAAAGTATTGACTTATATTGAAGAGTATTGATATATATATATATTGATATGTATTAATATTTATTGAAAAAACATTATTTTTTTTTTTCTAGTAAGTAAAATCTAGTAAAGATGATTGCCCATCTTCATGATACATTTTATAATGCTAAGGCAACCTTGTTATCAGAAGCCGATATTAAAGAAATTAGAGAATCAAGAGATAGGATACCCAATGTATCAAAAATAATAGCTAAAAAATTTCATATTGGCCCTAAACGTATTTATGAAATATGGGACTATAAAGAACGCTTTTAGCAAGAAGTTACTTCATCTCAGTCTGTTTTGGAGGAGAATTCCCAAATTTATAAAAAGAAACAGATTCCTGAAGCGGTACCAGAAGAAGTATCTACACCCCTTCCATCTACAGAGATTCCAAAAAAGAATGGTCGAAAAGAGAAGGTTAAAATAGATGAGAAGCCGATTACTAAAGTAACCAGTATAGTGAAAAAAAAATAACAAAAATAATATGGCCTCTTCTTCTGACAATTCGTCTGATACATCCAGAAAAGATAGGTTGGAATCTCTTCTTGAAAACTTAGTCAAACGTGGTGAAAAGCTTAAAAGCTTAATAGTTGATACTTCTGATATCTCTTCTATATAAGGATTCACATGTGTCAGCAAGAAACTTTCCAGTACTTAAGGCCAAATAGAGCCACTTTTCAAGCTTTGTACAGTTTACACTTTTTTTTTAAGTCCTTCTCACCACTTAGATTAGAGGAATTGGTAGATACTTGGGCTGAATCATGTAAACCCTCTAGAACCTGCTCCTCTTTTGGCAGAACCTTAGCTTCTGGGGCCTTGCTAAATATTGGAATAGTGTAAGTCTTCCTATATAACTTCATTCGGAATTGATTTTTATTCAGATCAAGAATACCTTGAACTTTTCAAATCTATGTCATATCTAAACATAACATTGG